CGGGATTGACACTTCCCGTAGAAACAAACAAACAATTTGAACCCCGCGTCATTATAGGGTTCCGCCAGAAACATCAAGGCTAATTTTTCACTGTTGGATATCATTAAAATTACAAGTAAGTTTTATTAACGAGAACGTGGAAAACATGATGGCGTCGCTAGATCACCTAGTAAATATTTTACATTTTCCGACGAAAAAGAATCGAAATATCCTACCAATAAGTTGATAAGACCTTTATCATCAGTCGCGGCGACTGATTTTTAAATTCTGTACGTTATAATCAATGACATTAAACAACATGATAGGCAACTCTGACGTCACTTCATAAGACTACAGGCGAAAGAATGTATTTCATGATACGCTCCAATGCACATATTTCTCGTCGCCTTTCGCGACCGTTTTCTGCTCGCTTTTGCTACTCGGCGTCTTCTTTACGTGTAGTACCTGCCTTTTTGCGCTTGTAACAAAAGAAAATAATCTCTATATCTAAGGAGTTTTGCTCACATGAAAAGCTGGAATGGCAGACAAGCTGTGAAGAGTAATTCTGGATATCATAGACGTTTTTTGTCAGAGAAGATTACAAACGCGATAGCGTAAAGATTTGTGTGGAACATTTTGCAGATAATGACAAAGTTCAAAGTTAGTAATTTTAATGTTTGCGCTTAAACATTGAAATATCATTTAAAGAGTGTGTCAAACAGAAAAACTGTTTTTACTTCTATTAACAGTGCTGTGGTACGATTCCATATCACAAAGTTCGTACCTATCGAACTTGCTTTAGGAGGTGAATTTATTAGACATATTACATATTCAGTTAATAGGTAACATTGCTGGTACCTAATGCCTCGTACATAGGTTTGTGTCTAAATTTAGGAATTCAGCTCATAGCCCACTAATTAATATTATCTTCTATGCAGGAAGTTGCAGGGCTGTATTCAACTTGCAGCCTTACGGATCACCTGACGATGCTCATTTAGTTTAGCTCGAGAAAGTCTTCTTGAAAAACTTGTGTGAATGGGAACTACCTATATGTTTTGCCTTCCTCCGATTTTAGAAGACAAATTTATTCTGAGGGATTCCGCATATAATTCTCATTGATTGTTGGCTGTTTATAATTCCTATTAATTGTGAATTCTGATTATAACAGAGAGTTAAAAAAAATTTTACGTAAATTACTGGCACCTTTTTTTTGTCAATACTCCAAGCTGAGGTAATGAACAAGACAAAACATTTATGTCATCTGGAAGCAAAATATGCACACTAATTAAATGTTTGACACATTGAGGTAATACACCATGACAGAAAATACAAGTTAAAATATATATGACCATCACATGGTAATTAAAATTAAAAGAAAAACTAATAGGGGCTGTGGAGTATGAAAAGTTCAAGACAAAGAAAAGAACAAAAGTTCATAGCTCATGAACTCTCAATTTTGCCTCCATTGCTTTGTGAAGGCCAATATATTTCGAGTGGCTGAATTGGTTTACCTTTATGATAGCAACGATTTTGTATTCAATATAGCGAGATATTTTTCAATTTAATTGAAGTGATATTATTTCCCAAAGCAATGCTTGAATCGTCTAGACTAGATCAGTGGTTTAAAACTCATGGGTTTTCGAGAACCGCATTGCATTTTGGAAATTGTAAAAAGGGCCGCAAACAGTTTTTGATAATGTATACTTGGAAGATAGTTTTAGTTTGTTACATATATTGCAACTAAACAGTTGGATTAAGTTTTATTATTTTCTTTAATTTCAGATGCAAATACATATTAATATTTGCATTCCACTATTATTGCAAGTTACTGTATTTATTACAAAAAATCATAAAATTCTATGTACAACCATCAAAATCATTTTTGAACAAGCTTTGGATAAGGAAAGAATAATAAATACACTTAATCTCTGATTATATGGACCTAAAATTAACAAAAATACTACAGTATAAACTCAATGTTTTTTTAATTACATTTGTCCTGACGTTTGGCATCTTTTATGTGTCACCAGCATACTAAGGTCAGGTTGAAATGATTTTATAGTACCAACTCTAACTAACGAGGTCACATAATCATGGGTTAATCTGAATCTTTGCGAATGTTTAATTAATTCCAGTAATGCAAAAAAGTTACTTTTATCATTTCATGTATAGATCAGTAAAAAACAAATGACAGATTTTTTCGACAAGACATTTCGTGCCACATTGCGTGGCATAGGATTGCTTGCATTATTATCGATATTGATTTTTAGTAACTAAGTCGTTGTATAATTATATCAATATACAAACACATGGAAATTTTCTGTTCGGAGTTGGTCATCGAAATTGTCATATTGACTGCTGAGCTTATTGTGTTTTTTCATTGTACTGATGTAAATATGACAAATTAAACAATGTGCTTCAGAATTTTGTGAAATGCAGAAATATTGCAATTCCCATTTTCTTTGAAAATGCTACCTTCTTCATGTACTTTGCGTTTAATTTAATCACTCAAGTGTTTTATTCAAGTATTCTTTTATTCTTAATTGGGTCAAAATGTGAACAAAAAAATGAATTTTCCAAAACTACTTTCAGTAAATTGTTTTCTGTGTGAATATTCAATTTCACTTTAAAAGGTTTGAAAAATCTATTACATTTAGATAAAAAAAAACTTTCAAAATACTATAACAATTATTGTTAGGCGTTCGAAGGCCGCACTGGAAGTTCTCTGGGGCCGCGAGTTTGACATCCCTGGTCTAGATTGAAGTTGTCCAAAATATATAACAGTATTTTATCATGAATCTATATCATATCTATATTACTACCAAAAGTTCATGAACCAAATTTAACACAGGTGTAGTGAGTGACCCGTAATCCTCATTTTCCAAAGCTGTTTTAAATATGTCTGGCGTGTTTTGTGCCTTTTTACAAATAAGACCGCTTATGCAATCTTACGCTTGGAATTTAGTTATTTTTCGCAAGCCCTGCAGGATGTGGGGGTCATACACAACTCTACCGGAGGGTCAAATGTCTTTACATGCCTCCATAGGTTGTTCTTCTATTGCAAACATTAATGGAGTACTCTAATTATATTTCTTGGAATTACACTGTCACTGATATGTCGCCAGACTTCTGATATCTCCCCTTCTGCTACAGTTGTCCTGTGAATAAATAATAGGAAATTGAGGTTAGACGAATAGTTGAAAGTTTTGCCTTATGTCGGCTTAATTTCTTGATTGATATACTTACTATTTTTGCTATTGCCGCTTGTGCTGCAGGAGTCTCACAATGCTTAGACAGGTTTTTCCACAACTTTCCCATCTGAAGAAAGAGAGGAGATTTATTAATTTTTGTTAAGAATAAATTAAGCAGTCTATATGATTTAGAATGGAAAAGCTAATAAATCTAATATCCCATGTCTATGTAAAATATGTTTTACTGAATTTGGTATATAAACCAACTAATAAAAGGGTTCAGTCAGAAAATTACAAGCATTGTTATACTTGAAATACTTGCGAGATCAGACTATACAATATAGACCGGTATGAGTAAAATGTTAGGTGAACTTGTTAACCCTTTGATTCAATACGCAAATAAAAGTTAATGAGCAATAGTATATTACAGCAATGAGTATATATCCTCACTGATTAAAAAATCTAAATGGAGGTGCATGAACTATTTGAAACCATAAGGGGTAAGTAAATATGCAATTTCGGCAAATGGACAACTACGTACCGTACTGAATTACTTCGTAGTATTTGACAAAAGCTGGCTTTCCCACATGTACTTGACAGTGCGATGCCCGGGTGTGATATACAACAACAGTATTTACCTTACCTTTTTCCAATTTCTTTCTACCTCAACTTTACAAAATATCATTAAAATCGACAACAACTGTCAAAGCAGGCACGAACACCATTCGTGCTATTCCTTGAAAGCAGCACACATCCGCTTGTTTTCGTCTCGTCAAGTATGTGCATTGGAGCGTGCTATCGGATACGATCTTCGGCCAAAAATGGCGGAGTTGCGCATCATGTTGTTTAATGTCATTGGTTATAATGTACAACTTGTAGCTCCGATGAAATTCAGCAGGCCCCAGAATGTGCTAGTTCACATTCTATAATTTTTGTAACAACTGTTGCATCAGCATTTTGGGCAACGGGCATTCCATCAGCTTCTGAAATGATTAATGTAGAACATATGCCTTATTTAAACGTTCGACATGGTGTAAACAGGTATCACAATACCAGTTCAAATAATACCAGCTTTAAACGTATGCTTTGAGTCAGGGGTTCCCAAAGTTGATTGACCGCGGGCCAAAATTCGAAGCAGAAAGATCAGAAAAGGACCAGAAAAGGGGAGCGAAAAAGAGCTCGACGTCACGGCTGGGGCTCAGCGATGTTGTGGACTACAATATAACTGGTCAATAACGTGGATTCACTTCCATTTGACATTTGTTCAATATGATTTGCCGGACACAAAATAGCGTCCCATATGCATCATTGCACTAGCTATCTCCACTTGGTTTATAGCAAATAGTCACTTTGGTAATTATCAACTTTCATACGAGTCAGCGGAGCGTGACGGCTGCTGCAATGCGTTTTTTACCATACTTTGAGGGGGACAAGGCGATTCCGCGAATTCATTGAGTGCCAATGTTGCACCTGGAGTGTACTGGATCAGGTATGTTGTATTATCTTATTTGACGGTTTGAAGTAGGGTACTATTATATATACACTACATATAGTATGCTGACTAAATTAGATAGGATGTCCCAGTACTTGGCAGCATTGTCCGGCGGCGGTACCGTACCGGTGCACCACTACGGTACCTAGCTCGAACCAACCCGCAAAGAGATCGTGGTTTCTATTGAAGCTTATTTCGTATTTTACTGAGTTTAATGAAGTGTAATGTATTCGGAATAGTTTAGTATTCGTGAATAGCCATCCCTGCGACACAAATAAATATCATAAAGGCAATGAAATCGGGCAACAACCTTGTTTTAAGCAAATAACATGCACTGTTAGCAATAATTGGTTAGAAGTATTGAAACTCGTAGTAACTATTCTTATTCAATTGCTAAGTTTACATGGGTGTATACCGGGACACACCCGGGTTGGTAAGATCGTCAATAATTATCCATTAACGCCTATTAGCTAGGTATTGTTGAGCGAGAACACAGGACCACACAAACAGTGTATTGTTCTAGATTCTGGAATTCGAAATTTATGGAGAAAGATCAATTCCAAAAACATAATGATAACAGTGCTTGCATTTAAACTACATTTATTTTTATTATGTGTATATATTCATAATTAAGACACTATACACTATGTATACTATATACAAGGTGTCCCAAAATAAATGAAACTCATTTATTACTAAAATAAAATACGTTAAAAATATTATCATTTTCTGTGATCTCATATAATAACAATTGAGTACTGACATTTGAGGCCTTTAGCTAGATGTTAAGGTTTATTTCAATGTATTTTTGCAATTTTGTGGGTTTCATTTCTTTTAAGACACCCTGCATAAAGATATTACATAATTGTTTCTTTCTAAAGACATCAATATAATACAACTAACATAATGCACGGTAATATTAAACATTTAAACAATCACATTTAGCAGTAACCTAACAATAGTGCAGTCGATTCTATTGAATAAAATAGTAAAATAAAGCAATACAATTTAAATGTTTCTTGACTAATTAATATCATTGTTTTTTTCTCCACAATAAGTTTGCAGCTATGTCTCAGTCTACTTGCATCTGTTCAGTTGGTACATTCATTAGCAGCGTAGCCATGTAATTCCATTCACTCATTTCTCCAATCCATTCCGCAACGTTCCACACCTCAGCACCCTGGCCCACTACGTCTCCTTCTCCACGGATGTCTTGTATATTAGCTTGCTCCACGTTGTTGTTACTGTAATGTAAAGTTATTTACTGCATTTAGCAGATTTTTTCCCAGGTTTGTTTGAGAATTAACTTTGAAAAAGTGTAATTAGAGAATTAATTAAAAAAGTGTACCGAATTAAAATATTTTCTATAAAAGATTCCACGTCGTTACCAAACTTACCTGTCTTTATTCCCTCCCACGGCATATATTTTGTCATCAAACACACACGCCCGAAATTTGATTCTTGGTGATGCCATTCCTTTTTTTGCCAGTACCCATTCATTGGTGTATATGTCAAAAAACTCCACAGAACGACGAAATAGCCTATCACCGTGATTGACGGGTAGCCGGAGACTTTCTCCATCCACACCACCACCACCTGAAACATTTATTCATCCCACAATTCTCACAATGGTTTACAATAATCAAAATAGAAGTGTATTACCCACGTACCCAGCACGTATATTCTCCCATTATAACTCGCAACTGCAGGAGCAATTCTTGACTTTCTCATTGGAGGCATAATGCTCCATTCGTCCGATTCCTTGTCGTATTTTTCCACTAGAGATAAAGCAACCTCGCGTGGGTCATCTGGTACAGTATTTTCTTGTTTAATATTCACCTTCGTATCTTCAAATTTGTTTTCCCGCCCAATCCCACCGATGCTGTATATGTAGCCTGTAACGTGATACTTGTTGTTCTTTATTCAAGAAATATAATTTTGGATCGCTTCAGGACACGTATTTTTACTCGGTTATATGCAAAATATTGTCTTCTCCAAATTACCAATTTAATTCATACGCAAAGCTGTAAACACTAATTTGCTATCATTGTACCTCTTGAATAAATATATATAGGCATACTCACCACTGGCTTCGACCATTGCGTTTAGTCTTTTTTCATAATGCATATCTTTGAACATTTCTCATTGCCCCACAACCGGATTATATTTTTCACAGGCTTTTGTCATTTTGGGAAGTGTTTCATCCGTTTGTCTGTAAACTTCAACTTCTTGAAATCCTCCACCACATACAAATATACAACCTATTATAAAACCAAGGGAGTTTTGCTAGAATATATAGACACGGAATGCGTAAATAAAAAGCAAAAAATACAATCTTCAAATACTGAAAATTTCAAAGCAACTGGTCCAGTAAAGATAAAAGCGATTTCTTCATAACGACCAGGGTTTTGTTTTTTATCAATTAAAAAAAAAAAAACTAAAACAATGGCTTGTTTTAAATCGATTTTTTTTTTCTGTATTTTTTATTGGAATACCCCCTGCATCGCCGCTAAACTACGCCAAAACGTTGCGTTCGAACAGCTGCATACGCTACCGGAATTATAATTTCAAAAATGTAAGTAAAAATTCTTATTTCGACTTTTATTCTATTGCGTACATTCATCGCCACGGTGGTATTTACACCAAAGTCATAAGATTTTCACCGAAATGTTTATCCGAGATACCAGAGAGACGTTTTGAGGAGGAAAATCATGAAACTTAGCTTCCGAGCCTACCACAAAATTAATTGGATCAAGGGCAGCATTCGGCAAAACGAATGAGTTACGATGATGAAGAATAAACATACGTCGGCGGCAATCTACTGATTTAAACGATGAGACTAGCCTAGGCTATGATAATTGTAAGAGTCCTCTGATGCAAAGACGCTACAACTAATATGTTATGACGCCACAATAAGGATTACGAGTTCATGTATTGACATTTTTCTTATAAAATAAAGGCAATATTAGGGTTAATACTGTTCGGTTAATTTATGCTTTGCATACTTTGTTCTTAAGGTTGAAGTGATAGAGTTTTTTTAAAGTTATGCAAACTGAAATCACATTTCAATTTTTGCAAGGTGGTTTCGTTGCAGGGTCGCTCACGTAATGGCTTATCGGTTACGTCTTACTGCGCCAACCACTATTGCGGTCACACTGGACTACAGCTTGAGAAAGTGTGTATGGGCCTTTATCGATATTTGTGGCGTTTCGAAGGATTTATTGCAAATAAGAAGCGCTTGGCAAGTTTTTACTTTAACCTATTTATTACAAAAAAAAACAATAGTACAGCCATTTTGAACAATACAGGCAAAAACAATTGTTTTAAAACAATTCTCTTTGAACAAATCCCTAATAACGACAAGAATAAAAATAGAAGAATAATAACAACATAATAATAATAATAACAAAACGATTCATTTTTTGACTTTGAGTACTTTTATTTCGGTACTTCGCCATAACCCTGGTCTCCCCACGCAGGAGGGCTAAAATAGTATTTATAAAAATAAATACAAATGAGATTTAATCTAAATAAGAAATAAATTGAACATGTAATGCAAATAACACGCCAATAAAAAAGTAAATAATGCGGCTTATCTTATCACTCCGTGTCCGATAATGTGCTTCAATGCCACTGTTGAGGTTGTTTGGACGGGAGATCAATTGTATAACAAGTCGACTCAGGAACAAGGTCATTAATCACCAACAAGTTGGTAAAAGCTTTATATGCAGGAATAAATAAATTCGACTTCAAGTTTTATGACGTACCATCCAAAGTCACTGCTGGTGGTTCAGCTCCATGAAACTTATTTGGTCCTTGTAAATACAACCATGTAGGATTTTCATCAAATGGTTGGATTCGAAAAAGTCTTCTGCGCCATTGTATCACATAGACAGCGAACTCGATGACGACGGCACTGTAGGTGTGTGTCGATCCGTAGACCGCTTCGGGGTGCAGTTCCTGGAAAACAAATTTGGCATCTATGATTGAAGATGACTTCTGCCAGATTCAGATTCAGATATTTATTTTTCGTCGTGCAAAAACATTGTACATTTAAACAAATGGTAAAAATTAAATAAATTCATTGAAATGAAAAAGTACAATATTTGAACTGCAATGGACGAGGGGTCGCGAAAAGACTATTAAAAGTCATCATGTCAGCGACACCATTATAGAAGCAGATTAAGTCAAACAATACAGAAGTAAATCAGCATAAATAATTAAAAACAATTTGGGAACTAAAAAGTACGTGAGAACGGAAGATTCATTAAATAAAGTATTGACTAACTAGATCAACTCAACGTCATGCTCCAGCGAGCACGCCCACAACAAGGAAATTGCAGACGTACGTGACGAATATTGATGTCAATGTTGCATTTAAGATTTGCCTTTTTGTGACACTATCGCGGCATGATTAGATTGAAACGTCCGTTACCGATGACATTATAATGAGTAAACGATGGGTGACTGCATATGGGGTATATTAGTGAAATCGACTTGGACTACAGTAGGAAATTTAGAAAAAAAAATAATCTTTTTGATTCATTTAGTCGCTAAAAGTTATTAAGAATGGCTTTTTATTCATTTCTTCAAGATTTCTTACTCAGAATACGCAAAACACATATCTGGACGATCGAAGCACTAAAAATAGCTCACACAATGGAAGATTTATGCTGTTTCATACCACACAAAACGATTCTGGGGGAATATTCCCATTATCACAAAACCAAAATTAAAAAAGGATTAGGGTGATTTTTTCAATATGCATATCAAACGCTAACAGGAAATCTAGGTAAAAAATTGACAAGGACAAAAAGGTAACAAGGGGTTAATTGAGAATAAATATATGTTTAATGAGTTAATAATAATCCATGAAATATTTTATTTCATCATTTCAGCGTCGAGCATACCTGTAGTTCAATTATTTCCCCTTCATGCATTGGTCTTATCGCCTTCATTTTGTCATTTTCGTTGTAGTCATCAAACACAATAAGCACTGAACATGTATTTAAAAGGTTTAATTTTAGTGTTGTATTTTCACGTTCTTTACACGGCAGAAACGATAAAGAAGCCCACCTCGTTTTGAAATATACATTCATATTATATTATGATTTTATTTGGGAGGTACTAAAAAATTAAAAATATTTATATATATAACTTGAAATAAAAATGTGCAATCCATTACAAATTTTTTATAGAAATGCTCGAATAACATGAACAGATGCAATTCATATGCTCGTACCTAATAAAATACTTTAAAAGTGCGGGTACTTATAAAGCCAGAAAATGAATAGTTTAACGAGTATTATCAATTTAATTATTTGCGTTTCTTTTTTACAATTCTTATTTTGAGTTATTTTGATTAAATAATTTAGAAATACCATATATATACCCTTTTCTGCAGGTTGAAAGACAGCATTTGCATTTTCGGCATTCATTTTTGGTCAGCAAATCACTCCGAGTGCTGTGATGTACTTGCTTTACCTGATAGTCAGTATTTTATGAAAATGTTATTAATATCTGAAATAAAAACTTGCCTGTATTAGTTTGTGACGTGTTGGAGTGTAATTTGTAATATAACTTTATGAGCAGGTAAACACAAAATATGAAAATGCCATTCATACGCGTAATACAGAATTGAATCACGCCCACGAGTATATAATCGATAGCAGTGGAATTTGATACGAGAATAAGGAAATCACAATTAGGGATGTAAGTTTCAGAATTTCGAATCGATGCGATTCGAATCAACATCGATTCGGAGCAATTCAGGAAAAAGAAGCTTGATTCTACTTAAATAAAAATTGTATAGATAACACAGGGCAATTGCACGACGTAGAGGCGATGTAGATCAGCGTTTCCCAAACTGTGTTCTGCGTAACACTAGCTAGCGTGTCTAGACTGACAAACGATCCTACAATAACTTCTGCAGTATGCGAAAGACATTGATTGTCTCACTCCGAGAGTAGTGTGATAAATTTAGTGGCAGTGGCATCCAAATGTTCAATCTGTTCTAATTCTAAGCAAGCGAAGAATCGCATTTGAAGGAAATTGTAAGTTAGATCAGTCATGAAACATTCATGGTTTGAGAATATTTAATTTTCGCTGGATAAAACATGAATACTTGGCAAAGCTTCTTGAAGAATTATCAACACTTACAATTGACAAAAATCAATTCCGTAATTACGGCCAAATCGATTACGTAATGACCCCGTAATTGCGATATTTTTTTTCACACATTCAAACCTATCATAACAATTAACAACCAATTTAATCCACTTCTATTCCGAATGGGACATCGAAGTTTGGTTTTCCTATTCCCGGCAGTACTACACGCCGGCGACAGATGTTAAAGACAAATATCAAGGAGTGAATTCAAAATAATTTTATTCTGATTTTTATCTTTGGTATTTATTAGCTTTGATTTTTTTTATCCACTTTATCACCAAATTTTATGCGATCAATTTTATCATTACCAACACTGGTAATATGTTTAAGAAACGATAGTTCACTTTTTTAAAATCGTATTAACGTATTAATACGACTTTCGTATTAAATAAAAATTCCGGGTTGCTAATTTATTAATCAACTACAAGCGTATTCTCTCGTTTGATTATACTTTCGCTTGCCTCGCGACGAAGACTTGTTATTTCACCGTTTTTTCACAATATCCGACTTTACTACTTAATTAGCATTTTATAATAATTATTGATGCCGACTTATTGACGATATTCCGAATTCCATGCTTCATTTTACATTAAATCATTTCGAGGCCTAAAAGTTATAACATTATTTGCGATAAATTTAAATCAAATATTAATTATTTGCGCATTATTCAGAATACCGTACTTATATGACATGCCTTCTCCGAAAATACAAAGTTATATCGCAAAACAATGCATTTTGTGACATTTATTTTGCACTCATGAAAATATTAATTTTTTTTTTCTAACTCAAGTCGACAATCTGCTTGGCCAAGATTGACACAAGTTTGGTCGAGTGCCGGTGGTATTCGAGTCGACGATAAATCAAAATAAGTTGCCGCATTTGGTAAAGACAGGTAATCATATTTGGCCGACATATTGCGAGGCATTGTGAAAAACATATTGAGCAATGCCAAGTCCGGACAGATATATAACGATAAAATCGGTAACAGAACATCAAGATTTTGTAATAGAAAATGGATCTCGCGCAGAATAAACACGGGAAATCCCGTCGTATTGTTGTTTCTCTGCCGTCTCAATCGCTTTACCGATGCTGAAAAGACTAAGTTGCGTTGGTTCATTACGCAGTTTCTCTTCCGTCTTTATATTGCTGTTTGATAAGCGCGACATTAATTATCACGGCATTTACAAATAAACCATGTTTTATAAGTTGATCTCTTACATTCTTTAGTCATTTCACCCGAAGAAGTTGAAACCAGGTGTGTTGACGTCCATCGGTCTCAACACAATTCTATTCTTTATCTACGGTTAATATGTACATTGGCCATCCTAGATAAGTTGATAATAGGTTAGTAAATGACGGGTTATGCCTTCCCCATCTGCCTAACAAGAGAGAGAAAAACGGCTGCGAATACCGGAACTCTAACTTCTTTTACTTAAACTTTAATTTTTTACAATCGACGGAATTGACTGCTCTGAAGAGAGCTCGTTTCAATCCAGAAAGCGCTCGACCAATAATTACGACTTTACGTAATTCGTAACTTCGCTTCCGTAACTCGAAATAATTCCGTAATTCCGTAAATTACGTGCAAGCCTAAACTGTCTTACTACTAAGAATTAGGCACGCTTATATCTGAATTGTATGATTTGAATAAATCCTAAATAAATGATGAAACATTTACTGTGGGTACAATTAAATAATAAAATTAACAACTTGAATGGAACATAAAAAATACAAACTTTGTGTCAATTTTAATAACAATGTGCCCTCAATTCCTTCTTTTTGGCACCGGTGGAAGTTTTTGTATATGCGTGTGTGCAGTTAGCTGCATATTCAGTACCCATTCGTTTTTGTGTATGACCTTATTCCCGATCAGTCGAAAGCAGGTTGGCCACCCCTGCCTTATATCTTATTAAAAACAAGTCTACGATGCATTCCTCGTTATCGTTGCTTCGTTTAAAAGCATGACGCAGACGGTACTAAGTAGCGTTTATCATTTGGATGTATTTTCAAGGCCAATCTTAGAAGAAACAAGCACTAGAAACTAGACAACCGGTATTGTATGTAAATAAATATGTAACTCCTATGTAACAAAATATAAATCCCAGTCGAATATATTTGGTAGTCGATAAATCCATGCAATATGTTTTTCTAGTAACTTTATTCATTTTTAAGCTCATTATTGTTATTTTATCTAAATTTATACTATATTTCCTCCAAATTTGAAGAAAGTTAACAATGATATGGTGATGTACTAAATAGAATTAGATTCGGAAATATTCGAATCGGAACATTGTGATTCGAAATTCGATTCGAAAAAAAAATATTCGAAACTTACATCCCTAATCACAATATAGAAACTAGAGCTGCGTGCAGCTTTAACAGGCTTCCCGCGTAAAAAAAACTGAAGACGCGTTTTGCTCACTGGAGCGTGAAAACGTGGTCAGTCATGCATAAAATTTGCAATTTATGATGGGGGACTTATTATCTGCATGTGATGTAAATTTCAAGTCTCTAAGTAGTGTCGTTCTCGAGAAGAAGATGAAAATGTAAAATCCTATATTGCTCACTGGAGCGTATCGCCGAGGTCACTCATGCGTATCCTTGACATATTGTATCCGGAACATGTCCATTAATCATTGTTATGAATTTCAACCCAATACCATGTATCAATATTGAGAAATCGCAAAAAAACTGAAGACGCGTTTTGCTCACTGGAGCGTGAAAGCTTGGTCAGTCATGCATGAAATTTGCAATTTATGATGGGGGACTTATTATCTGCATGTGATGTAAATTTCAAGTCTCTAAATAGTGTCGTTCTCGAGAAGAAGATGAAAATCCTATATTGCTCACTGGAGCGTATCGCCGAGGTCACTCATGCGTATCCTTGACATATAGTATCCGGAACATGTCCAATAATCATTGTTATGAATTTCAACCCAATACCATGTATCAATATTGAGAAATCGCAAAAAAACTGAAAACGCGTTTTGCTCACTGGAGCGTGAAGCGTGGTCAGTCATGCATTAAATTTGCATTTTATTGCTAGCTGAGAACTTCTGCACATTTGAGGTGAATTTCAAGTTTGTAGGACCAATTTGAAAAAAAAATAATAAAAATAAATAATAATAATAACTAGAGCTGCGTGCAGCTTTAACAGGCTTCCCGCGTAAAAAAAACTGAAGACGCGTTTTGCTCACTGGAGCGTGAAAGCGTGGTCGGTCATGCATAAAATTTGCAAGTTATGATGGGGGACTTATTATCTGCATGTGATGTAAATTTCAAGTCTCTAAGTATGGTCGTTCTCGAGAAGAAGATGAAAGTGTAAAATCCTATATTGTTCACTGGAGCGTATCGCCGAGGTCACTCATGCGTATCCTTGACATATCGTATCCGGAACATGTCCATTAATCATTGTTATGAATTTCAACCCAATAGCATGTATCCATTTTGAGAAATCGCAAAAAAACTGAAAACGCGTTTTGCTCATTGGAGCGTGAAAGCGTGGTCAGTCATGCATAAAATTTGCAAATTATGATGGGGGACTTATTGTCTGCATGTGATGTAAATTTCAAGTCTCTAGGTAGTGTCGTTCTCGAGAAGAAGATGAAAATGTAAAATCATATATTGCTCACTGCAGCGTATCGCCGAGGTCACTCATGCGTATACTTGACATATTGTATCCGGAACATGTCCATTAATCATTGTTATGAATTTCAACCCAATAGCATGTATCAATTTTGAGAAATCGCAAAAAAACTGAATACGCGTTTTGCTCATTGGAGCGTGAAAGCGTGGTCAGTCATGCATAAAATTTGCATTTTATTGCTAGCTGAAAACTTCTGCACATTTGAGGTAAATTTCAAGTTTGTAGGACCAATTTGAAAAAAAAAATAATAATAATAATAATAAAACACAGGAATACAATAGGTTCCCTGCTGACAAGCAGCGGGAAGCCTAATAAAACACAGGAATACAATAGGTTCCCTGCTGACAAGCAGCGGGAAGCCTAATAATAAAACACAGGAATACAATAGGTTCCCTGCTGACAAGCAGCGGGAAGCCTAATAATAAATAAATAATAATAATAAAACACAGGAATACAATAGGTTCCCTGCTGACAAGCAGCGGGAAGCCTAATTACCGCGGATATTCCAGACAGGAATTGGGTCACCGATTAAAATAGTTGAGGTATAGACAAAATTGAATCGTCTCAATGAATATATCCTCTAGCACAGGCCTGGGCAAGCTCCGGCCCGCGGGCCGCATCCGGCCCGCGGCAACGTTTCATCCGGCCCGCGAGCAGATTTCTAAATTAAGACACTTACATTTTTATTTACATATAAAATATACTTTGAGGGCA